ATTCCTGCTTGGGTTTGAATCCAGTCCATTCATCCTACTAGTTGTATGACCTTAGAAAGCTTATTTAGGCTCTCATGCCTTAAATTCTTCAACCATAAAATAGGAATAAAAATAGTACATACATCATTCAGTTGTTTTAAGTAAGTTACTATTTGTAAGGCACTTTGAATAACACCTGACACATAATAAGTACTACACATGTATGGAATGAATGAATCACACCTTGACTTCATGGCATCAAAACACTACTTTACTGGAAACATAACTGTGTGAAACTATTTTAGTTTTCCACACTGATATTGGAACCAACAATGAATTTGATCTGTCAACAATTTATCAAAACTTAATTAACGGTATACACAGTGTGCCTGCAATGTTGAATTGATTCACTCATCTCCCAGATATGTATAAAAATTCTGTTTGGAATTGTCTGTATTCTGGATAAACCATATATAAAAACCTTAATACTAACTGATGGTTATTTCTAATTTTCAGAGTCATTAAATAAGAAAAGTATGTGAATGAACAGCCAGTATTTTTGTGTAGAATTCAAATAAATAAAATTGAGAAGCTTTACATATTATACACCGAGGAATACTACTAGTAAATTGATTTTTTAAATTTGGGGTTTTTTTCCTACATTGAATTCAATAAGGAAAGTTTTTTTTTTTTTTTAATCCTATAGTGAGTATAATTTTGTACAGTTTGGTTTTTCAAAAATAACTAGCAAATGTAGCAATGATGATAAATATTTCTAATTCTTCAATTAGAGATCCTTATGATATAAATTTGTTGAAATGGTTGAAATGCAATAGTAACAATTTCCAAATTCATTTATATTTTGTATTTAAAGATATTATGATCAGAGGTTGTTCATCAGAGGTTGCTACTGTAAGGAAACCAAAGAGAAGATGTCCATGAATTTTTAAAGAGTAGGCAGGCAGGAAACTTGATGGGAATGTAAAACTTGATCTCAGAATTTCCTGGGTTAGCAATTATGGAGTCAGTTTGACTAAAATCATGAAGAAGAATTATGCTCCAAGGATAACTTTAGTAAATATCCCAACTAAGTCAATAGCAATGACACAAATGTACTAAAAGACTACTGTATTCTACCATGTAAAACAAGCACAGCAGACAGTAATATGTCATTCAACCTCACAATATGCTCAGAAGTGTTGTTAATTTGTTAATATATTTGTCAGTTATTTTCACGTTTTTAGCCTATATAGTATCATCTGAAGATTCCATAAGCATCCCATAACAAGGTATAAAACTATTTAAAATGTAACCAGGTGATCCTTTTCATAAGCACCTTCAAAACTTAAGCCATGCAAACATTAGGCAGAATTGTCAGTGGACCAAGGGTCAGAGATGGGACACAGACTAACAATGAAAGATTTGAAAACCAAAATTTTTATTTTTTAAAAAACACATAATAAAAACTAAAGTATTTCCTTTTTAAAAAAGTCTTTTCTTGATATAAATAAAATATTCAATTGTGTTACAGTGAATAAAAGGAAAAAGAAAACACTGGTTTCTATAGCTTTTACTCACAGGTACATGCCAATTTAACAAATCTAAACTCTGTTTTCTCTGTTTTGTTTTGTTTCCCTCTTACACTCTCTACTATGATTTATCTTTGAAGGGATGTGGTAAGAAAGAATAAAGACCTGCTTCTTGGTTTTATATACCACCCTTTAGAGTGGTATGAACTTGTAATTACATCTAAAGTAGGACATTTAACTATGCTATTAAATTGTTACAGAGCATTTTCCTGTGATATTTCATATAAAGTGTAGATTATAAATATTTGGGTCTACTTACCTGGAGATGTCGAGCCCTTTAAATATCCAACAACATTAGTAACTGTTTCAAATTTTGTGACTGTCTGAATTCGCATGCTGACAATTCTTTCCTCTGGGGGGGAAAAGAAAATTAAAAGATACTTGTTTCTCTATATTCTGCTGTTTTGTTTTGTTTTGTTTTTTCTTAAAGCACTCAAATTTATTTATCCAATATGATCAGACAAATTATTCCAAACAACTGAATTTTTCTAGATAACCAACGTCATACTTTTAGGCAAATATGTATTTGAAACTTTGTGTAGACATTATTTTAGGTGCTTATTATATAATGATGACTAAGATACAATTGCTACCCTCATAGAACTTCAGAACCATAAATAGGCAATTCTAAATTTCACATTAAAAACTGCAGTGGGGTTCAACAGGAAAGCACACAGAACAAGACCTCAAGGAGATGTGGACAACTCATATTTTTAAAAAAGAAAAAAATCAGATAAAAATATTTTCAAAGAATTTTAAGTACTTGTCTAGCTTCAGAAAAATAGCATGTGAAGATGATTTAACTTTTTTTGTATGATTCATTATTACATTATCACATTGAAAACTATAAAGCATTACACAAATTAAAAGAATACAGATTCTTAAAGCTACACTTATTTTCAAATCTTGCAGTTTTCATTTCTACCTGTGTTTGTAGGTCTCTCACCCCTCTACTAAATCTCTGCCACCTGCCCTGCCTCTTTGAGTTCTTCTATTCATGCTTGATATTCAAAAATTTTGACAACAAATAAGGCAAAGACACCAATCAGAAAGGACTTCAGTCACAGCCCTGAAGTGGTCTTTGAAGGTCTTTGGTGATGACATGTGTTAAACCTGTATTTGATGGATCTTGGGAAGTCTGGGGGCTGGGGGTGGGGGTGGGAAGGTGGTTTCTCTAGGAGAGGTGCAAGGGCAGCCAAGTGGTACTGTTGGGGAGAGGGTGGCAATTAGAAAACAAGTAATGCAAAGTAGACATGCTATATTGATGGGTCTTCAAATGTCACTTCTTACTGCTATATGAAAACTGTTATGATAAATAAGTTGCTTCTTTCTTTGAATGTGCCCTACTAACAATTTAAATAGAAAATCAGTACACTGAAAAAATTATAACTAAACAAGAATAAAGAGACCTCAAGAGAACACCTGAGTGCCTCATATATGAGAAAAGGAAATCTGCTTATTGTGTATTATGAATATTGTAATCTGAGTATTGCAGTTCTAAGTTACGTGCTATGCATTTCTGTTCAATATTTTTTAAGTAGTATACTTCATGGGGTTTTTTAGAGCAGTTTCAAAATACAGAAAAACTGAGCAGAAAACACAGAGTTCCCAAATACCCTCTCTCCCCTGCCCCTATTATTAATATCTTACATTAGCATGATCAATATCTGTTACCATTAATGAGACAATATTAATACATTAAGTCCATAATTTATATTGAGTCACTCTTTGCATTGTACACTCTATGGGTTTTGACCTAAGCATAATGGCATGTATCCACAATTATAGTATCATATAGAATAGTTTCATTGCCCTAAAAATTTCCTGTGCTATACCTGCTTATACTTTCCTCTCTCCCTTCCTCTTGAGCCCCTGGCAACCACTGATCTTTTAAATGTTTCTACAGTTTTGCCTTTTCCAGAATGTAATACACTTGAAATCATGTTTGTTTTTAGTTATTAATTCCCTGTTCTAGGTTTGTTCCAAATTGTCCAGATAAATGAACTTTAGATGAGGCAGTCATGAACTTATAGTTGTTGTTTTTAATATTTTCATCTTATTTTTTTTTTTTTTTTTTTGCAGTATGCGGGCCTCTCACTCCTGTGGCCTCTCCCGTTGAGGAGGACAGGCTCCGGACGTGCAGGCCCAGCGGCCATGGCTCACGGGCCCAGCTGCTCCGCGGCATGTGGGATCTTCCCGGACCAGGGCACGAACCCGTGTCCCCTGCATCGGCAGGCGGACTCTTAACCACTGCGCCACCAGGGAAGCCCTATTTTCATCTTATTTTTGAGTTAGAAAACCAGAGAAGATTCTTCAGCTGTATCTAAGATTCAATATTAATTTTTTTTCAAATTCAGCAGTGAGAAAACATTATAATATGTACAAATGTAAGGCAAACTCCTTGAAATATTACCTTATGTTAATATAGTGCCTTACAATTTATATTTCCATTTGCACACACATATACTAATTCTCATTGAATCTCTTTTTCTCCGTGAAGCATTAATGAAGCTGTTATCCTTGTTACTGCATTTCATTTTAACCAGTGCCATACTGTTTTAATTAACATAACTTTATCATGACTGAAGTAATGGGTCCCTTACCATCACCACCACCATCACTGTCATCATCTCTTTTAATTATTATTCAATGTGGGGGGATTTACGGACCACTACTTTCATATAAACTTTTATATTAGTTCGTCATGTGCCGTGGAAAGACATTTCAGGATTTCATTAGGATTGTATTAAATTAATGGAACCATTTGAGAAAATCATGCATTTTATCTATGAATATGGTATGACTCTCAATTTATTTCAGTTGATTTTATGTCTTTCATGAAGCTTTATATTTTTCTTTATAAAAGGTTTGCATTATTAAATTTATTTTTAAGGTTTTCCTGCTATGTTAACAAAATATAGCATTTATAATTATTTTACTGTGTATAAGCATGCTATTTAATTTCATATATTAGTCTTGTAACAAACCTTCTTGTTAAACTCCTATAGGTTTTAATGGTTAATCTATAGGGTTTTTATTTTTGTTAATTTCACTGTAGATACAAACCAAAAAATAGTTTTGCTTATTCCTTTTAAAACTGTGAAGCTTTTATCTACTGCTCTCATTATTTTGTACAGGACTGCCAGTGCACTGTGGAATGGAGGCAGTAAAAGCAGCATTCCTTGGTCCTTTCCTTGTGTTCTTCACTTCTACAAAATGTTTCTACAACTGTGTTTTTTTTACGTAGTTTGCTATTGGTGTCTGGGAAATTCCTTTTATAAGGAAGATCACTTTTGTTCTTCCTTTGTTAATAAATTTTAGCATAAACAGATGTTGAATCAACTTTTGAGATAATTGCAAGGCTTTTCATTTTACAATGTTAAAAAATGCATGTATTCCTGGAATAAGCCCTTCTTGGTCATGATATATTTTCTGTCTTTGGTTACTAATATTTTCAGGATATATGCATATATATTTATAAGTAGCTTATTGATAATTATACTTCTCAATTTTTTCTTGTCTGATTTTGATAAGTGGATTATATAACGTCACAAATGTTTAGTGATCTTTGCTTCTTTTCATTGATTCTGTAAGAGTTTATGTAGCATAGACATTATCCATTTTACAAAGGAGAGTTAGTGTTCATACATAAAACTATTTCATTCTGGTATTTTTCGTGTGTGTTGCGGGGAGGAGTACATTTTCACTCAATGTATATTTTCATTTTATTTCACTTAATATTTTCAAATTATTAATGAATATAAGTAAATTCAGATTTTTACATGTTTATTTCTTCTAAATGCATTTAGCTGTTTGCTTTATTCTTATGCTTCAGAAAAAATACTGTCATTTAACTATAATTTTGTTTCCTTTCCTATTTCTAACATCAATTTACTTCTGTCTTTTTTGTTTCCCTTCATCAGTTTTACTAGCATTCAGCTAATTTTTTAGAATTTTCAGAAAACCAGTTTTAGGATTTGTGGATCCTCAATATGTTCTTCTTTATTTTTTGCTTCAATATTATATTCTATGCTTATTAGTATCTTTGTTAAATTTTGCCTGAATATATTCTCTGGGGTTTTTTAACCTAAATTTTTAAGTTAAAGCGCTTAGCTCATTACTTTTTAATCTTTATACATGTCTTTAAGGCTACAGATTTTCTATTGCAGTGAAGCACACTAATTTTGATATATGGTGTTATTATCTTACAAATTCTAGCATTTTAAATTTCTATGATAATTATTTCTATAATAAATGTATTAGTTCAAAGAATTTTTAAAATATTCAAATATAAGGTGTGAGTTACTGTTTTAATATTGATACCTAGCTTAATTTAATTATGAACTGAGAGCAAGGTCTATATACTACTGATACTTCGATTTTAGGTGAGTTTTGTGACACTGTAGCCTATTACATCTGATAAATAGAGAATAAACATTTTTGTACATGTTCCATATAAAGAATGTGCATTCCCTATTACAGGAATGTAGCATTTCATATATAGGTCCAGTAAATCAAGCTTGAAAACTGTGTGGCTATAACTTTATTAACTGTTCTACATATTCTCTCTGTTAATTATTGAGACATGTTAAAGTTTCCCATTTGATGCTAATTTATCAATTTATCTTGGCAATAGTATAATATTTTTCCTTGTATATTTTTAGACTACTTAGTTATGTGTATGCAAATTTGGAATTGCTACAACTTCCTGATTTCTATATAGATTATATAGAACAATTATTCTTTATATTGTTTCTATCCCAATTTTTCTCCCTAAAGTCTCCTCCCCATTAATATAACTATCCCATCTTTCTTTTGCTTAGTATTTCTCCAATACTTATTTTTCCAGCATTGAATTTCCTTTTGTCAGGCATCCCAGGGGCATTTCTGGCTTGGGCACAATTTTTATGCTAATGTTTTGGCTTGATGTTTCTATACTACAATGTTAATGAAAATTCTGAGCCAGGATTTTTTATTTCTAGAGATATTAAAAAAGATTTTTTAAAAAATTTTTATCCAGAGCTCAGGCAGAAGAAAGCTTTTCTCCACCAGTGGGTGGATTTCTTTCTAGTTTTTCTCTTGCAACTCCATGGTCCTGGTTTATATAGATGTTAGTTACAACTCCTTTCTCCCTATAGGCTCATAACCATGTCTTTTGTCCCCATGTGGGTTCTATATTCCCACTCTAATTTACCTAATTCACTGGGATCCATGACCTCCCAAAACTAGGTGACCAGAGGGTCAACTCTTCTGCTTATTTCTCTGATTTTTCATTCTGTCTTCATGTTTCCTTCTGGACATTTTACTTTCTTTATTGATAGATGCTTTTAAAGACATTTATTTCTTATGGCT